TACGAACGCAATTACTATTTTCTTTTGAGATCATTGATTGAAGGATAACAACTATAATTATAATATTAGTAATAATTAATAATATATAATGATAATGATATCATAATTATATAATTATATTACTTAATAATAATAATAGTAATAAAAATAACTATTCGTAAAGTATCCTTTACCAGGAGAGATATACCTATAAATTATGTACATGTTTTCCGTGCGTGTACGATTCTCAATCTCCACTTCTTTTCTTTTTTCTTTACATTACGTATCGTTAAGATAATTTACTATTACTCATCACGGTAGCAACATAAATAATAATGTAACACTATTATTTACAAACTCGCTTTCTCTCTCTCTCTCTCTCTCTCTCTCTCTCTCTCTCGCTCGCTCGCTCGCTCGTTCGCACGCACTCTTTCTCTATATCACTCTTTCTTCTATCTTTCTTCTCTTTCTCTCTTTATTGCTGCCTCGCTGAATCGCGCGCGTTGCATGCGAATCTAGTTTGATGATCGACGATGCACCCCTCTCGATCGCGAACGCGTGATGATCGCGGAATTCTTCGTTAACACTTTCCCGAGGAAATTACAAAAAGATCCACCCAAGCTCATTTTTATCAATGTAAAACTTAATTAACTTTAATGTTTAACTCTTAATACATATGATGCTTTTTCGGTTCTTTGTTACGCACGACAGATCGTTCGTGTCCCGTTAATTTTCGTCATTTTTACAAGTATGCACAATTCATTAAGTAATTCTTACATTTACTTTAATATCTTTAGAAAGTGTTTATAAAGTAGTGTATTAAAAAAAAGGAAGGAACGGAGACCATCATTTAGTCAAGTGCTCCTATTTCAGAGAAAAGAAATACATAGGACACAAATGACCCCAATCGTGTGTACTATGGGTTAATTTACTCGTAACTTTTTCTAATCCTTAGAACTAGAAGATAAAAAGTACCGAGTTAAACCGAGATTAAAATATTTACATTGATAGAAATAAGCTTATTCACCCTTGGCGTGGACGAGAATCGAGTAAATAGCCACCCGTTAGATCGGAGAAATGTTAAAATCGGTTGACGTCTACCTCGTTGCGCTTTTCGACGAGGACGTATGCTTTCTTTTATTCATTATCAAGCGTCAACAATATATACGTATCACAAATCGTCGCGCGCGATAATAGTGCATCGCTTTCGCGCCGCGAAGACGATCCGGAACGAAAGGAGAGGAGCTTCCGGTCATGCCTTTCCACGAAAGATCAGCGCGAAATCTTTCGCAGCTTCCTGAGGTATACACATGTACACGGAGGACCTTACGAGGACAGATAATTTTAGAATTCGGAGAGCGCATCGTATTTCTCCTGACGAAGTGCCTCGATTCTCGAGGGCAGTGCATCGCGATCCGTCTCGCCCTGGTCCCGCCCTTCGAAAACGATCCGCTCTTTCGACCGTCTCGCCTCTGAACGCGTCCGAGATGAGCTCGCACGAGGTCGTCGATCATCGCAACATGACGCCGAAATGGATACCGTCCGGCCGGTCCCGTTTCGCGTCGCTTTTCGTATTACATGTTCTATCTACTTTTCTCTTTTCCTGCGTCTACGTATTTACAGTGACGAAGGAAAAGAAACCGCGCGTCATCGCCGTGGTCTCTTCATCGATAATCGTCTAAACTCACTTTTCTCCTTCGTTTTTGTTTTATATATATATGTATATCAAAACCATTTTCGCGTAGAAATACTGATCCCACTAAATGTCCCTCGCGGTGGTTAATTGATATCTAAATTTTCGGCTGACTGTCTTAGGCTCAGTTTCACCAATGTAGGATTAACTTTAGTCTCGGTTCAATTTACTCTTAATCTTAGTCTAATTCTGAGCATTAGAAAAAGATAAGTACTAAATTAAACCGAGATTAAAGTTAATCTTATATTGATGGAATTGGTCTCAGTGTACGACAATCTTTTCTCGTTTTCAAGTTACCTTCGTCATCGTTTCCCGCGAGAAAAAGAAAAGGAGACTGCGAGGGAAGGAAAGGCTTTTCGACGAGGGCGAATGCTGAACAATCCGCTTGTATTAAACTTCGGTCGTGAGGCGTGAAAACGCATGTTTAACGCATCTGTTTAAACGTTTATTATCAAGAACGAGTGTTCCGCAATATTATCCCTCGTTCGTATCGCATGTCTCGTTACGTCGCGAAAGGTCAACGGTAATTGATGTCGCGTTTCGCAATAGGATTTGCACGAGCGGCTCGAGCTCGTCATCACGTCGAGAATTGCGAATTGTGAGGAAACATGCGAGTGTGACGTCGACCAGTGGATCGTTGCTCCGCTTGCGCTTCACTTTGGATCGATGATAGCTCTTGCGAAACGCCCGCAGCAAATTCGAATGAATGAACGAATGAACGGCGGCCGCATATTCCTAAACGATTAATCGCTAACGAGTTTCGGGGAACATCTCCGAGAAACAATTTTTGGACTCGCTTCGGATGTGAATTGACATTAATTTAACCGGGAATCCGGGACATTCCCGAGGTGTAATGCAATTAACAGGATGAGATCAAATGCGAACAGGTGACAATTATTGGCTGCGTTCAGGGCGTATATTACTCGTATAAACTTGTTCGAAATGAATTCCAATCAGAATTATTCCGTTTTTTCTTAGAAGACACGATAGAAATCTAAGGAATAATTAAATAATTCGGATTCATTCCGAATAATTCCATAGTATGTATGAGAAAAAACAACTTTGCAAATGTTGTAAATATGATTAGTTCTTGCCCTTAATTTCTCACTCAATTTAAATGTATAAATCAATCATATTACTAAAGTTTAATAAATATTTGTTAGCATAGTACACAGAGAGAAAAATGTTTGGTATTTGTAACTATAATTATATATTACTATAATTATGATTATTACTGCTATAAT